CACTTTTGCTACCACCGAAATTTCCGGGTTTTTTTCGTAAATGGAAAGCGCCCATTGTTTTCCGTTTTCAAATTTTTTATATTAGGTAGCATTGGGATTTATTACTGAAGAATCGCCTTACATTCGAAAAAAAATCCATAAAGGACATCTCATTATTCAGTTTTAGCAATAATGCGGTTTTTTTTAGACGTGAAAAGTATATTTTTAATGACAAATCGTTTTCAGCCATAGCTTTTGTTTGATTTTTTGAAGAGTAATATTTGATTTTATCCCCTAAAATCTGCCATGTCAACAAGTAAACAAAATTCACTTTATATACACTAAGTATGATTTTTGATGTATTTTGATCTCGTGGCGTTTTTGTTTCTCTTATTTCCCGACCTTTGACGTCGTCTGATTGGTATTAAAAATTGAGCTCCTAATTTCTCATTAGTGTCATTAGTGTTTTCTTCTTAACTGCGGACCCGACAATAAAGTTGTTTTGCCTCAAGCGTTGTCTAACCTTAAAATGTCCTAACAAGCGTATAATGTTTTAAATTGAACGAGACGAAAAATGTTAGATAAGAAGCATTTTGTAAAGGAAAACATGGACTGTTCAAGCCATAACTCCATAAAACATTCCACGTTTGTAACAAAAATTCGGAGTTGTTGTACATTTCACTTGCCATGACGCGCGACGTTCTCATGAAATTGATTATGTTATTTCAATATGTGGTCGACCAGATTTCCACATTACCCAATTTATCACCACAGGCAATTAATTTTCTTTATCATTTATATGTGTATACATTTTTGTTCATAGATTGATTTTTCAAAAAGACGCCATCATCATCATGGAGCAATATGTGTCGTTTCTGTCAAAACACTTGACACTTCAGGAGCAATAAAAAAAAATGAATTGTTACAAAATATCTTGTCCACTAAAATCTTTAGAAACTCCTCTGGTAACTGCTGAGGCGCAGTGCAAATGAAATCCCGGCGAAATTAAAATTTGAGAAGACTCAAAAGAAACTTAGTCATATAACGAATGTCGCTGGTCATGCCTAGAATGACTGTAACATTTGCAAGATAGATTACTTTAATTTTCTTTTATCAAGAACCCAGAAGTTGAATATGTGAAGAATTCGAAGATATGAGAAGACTTACAATTACATCGTAGACATCTGTGACTGGAGATAAATATACAGAAAACTCGTAAATTGAAAAAATGTGAAAATATGTCAAACCGAATCTTTTTTAAATCCGTAAACAATTACCAGACCAAATATTGTATAGTGCATACTTGATAAGGTTTACTAAACATATTTCATAAATCGAAATACTCATAAGCCACGTAGTGCAACTTTGCCTAGTTCATCAGATATTCCTTTTTCTAACAATTTAAGATTAGGCCGTTTAATTCTTTCTCCTGGCCATCAAATTGAGGCTTCAGGTTATCATTTAATAGTCTAGAGAGACTTAGAATCAGGTTTATGGAAAACGGCAAGCTTTACATTGAAGTTGACAACTTTCTGAAATTGGGAAATGAGCAAATAAAAACTGCCGGACTTAATTCTTATTGGTAAAACAGATAGATGTAGTAAAACAGTAAGCAACAAGAAAAGGGAAAGACGATCATGCACGGTGATAAAAGAAAACATTTCCCTTTACTTTTCAACCTGATGATTATTGATATAAAACGTTAAGGCCATCACGGTTCCCTGTTGAGTAATACTAATCAAACAGGCAAAAAATACATTTAGCACAGTTAAAATTTTAATTTTTTCCAACCGAGTCAGCGACTTTGAAGATTATTTCCAACTTGCTGGTAATTGTGTCTGCTAACGATAGTTACGTCACCTGTTCTGCGGAATTAATTTAAGTTTCAAAACATAAACTACAGTGACCCGACACTCTTTGGAGCAACGATTTTATCCAGTTTTTGTTGTATTTTGCTTTTCTACCAACTACAAGCAGCAGTTCATAAGTTTTCAAGCCTAATTGACTGTTTAATGAGCGGAAATCGTAACGCGCTAATGTATAAAGAAACTAAAACAAAACTACGGTAATTTTCAACAGTCTAACGAGTTTTCAATTATCCATAACCGCAAATTCATTGTCCGTGAAAGCATAAAAGGCAAGAGTACATAGAATTGTTCTTCATCTGCGTACAGTCGGTTACATTGTTTTCCAAATGCAAATTTAGCACTGAGTCTTCGCAACAACTTCGCTGAAATACGCAATTTGTTACTTTATTTCAAACGACGAAAGAACGATCGATTACAGCTGATTTTTAACAGGTTTGCCTAAAACTTCAGGCCCCGGTTGTTTGAATGTTGGACAGCGCTATCCACCAGACAAATCATTATCCACTGAATAAGTGTTAGGGAAACCAATCGCACTATCCCCTGGAGAGAGATTTACCCGGCTAACAGCGTTATCCAGCTTTCGAACAACTGAGGCCAAAGGTATAAAACATTTTTTTTTAATACTTGAATTAGGATTTATGCAATATTACATTTTATCCTTCTTTAAGGGTGAGATAAGTAACGCTTGATGTATTGATATATATATGGATGTATGGCTTCAACCCATAAATTGATCTTACTGAGGCTCACCTGACAAATTTGGGACTAAAACTTAACTCGGAAAATGTTTGCATTAATTTGGCAACGCTCCTAATGTGACTGCTAAACGAACTGCAGTCATTTGTTATTATTTTGTGAGAAACAAAGATTACTTTCTGAATCCGCGCTAAGTTGATTTGTTTACCATGATATTCTCACATATTTCGATAAAGCATCGAAACTGCCACATTATATTGTATGAAATTATACACCTCATCAGCGGATAAAGTACGGTACAGTAGTAAATATTCTGTCGTCTTTCTTGTGTTATAGCCTGAAAGTACAAAGCAAATCAGTTGGGGTGAATCCTTTTTCACTCAAGACAGACAGTACACCGTTTGTAAGTTCTTTCTCGAATGTTGTTGTCGTAACAGGTCCTTCTGCAATCCAATATTCGCCCACTGACTGCACTCGTCTTGCTGTGACTATGTTGATTACCGCCCACTTATGTTTGTGCAATTTGCTTAATAGCCTTAGATTCAGATCCAATCGCGCATTCAATGGATTTTTCAAAACACCTATTCACGTAGGTGACCAACATCAGTCTAGAATTAGATAAGCCACCGTCTGAAAAGACGCTGTATACTGCACATAATGAAACACCCCACGGAAAGGGCAACGCAAATTAAATAAACATCTGTAAGAGAAACTGGCTTGTGGAAGCCACAATTGAACAATGACTAGGGCACTTTTTGTATTTCTTCAAATGCATTGCTAAGACCTTGGCCGTAAAAAAAAATTAATTCTGTCTAGCACAATGTTAAATAATCAGAGTTTTGATGTTTTCTCCAGTGCGGTGAAGGGGCTACAACGCAACTAAATGTTATTGGAAAAACTTGCCTAAGCAAATATGGAAATGATAGTTTCTCTCTAGTCAGACTGCTTAAACAGGAAAATTTTCTACAGGCATCAGAGTTCTTCTGCTTTTTCAAAGTCAATAGTGTACCGTGCTGGGTTGTAACGCAAACAGATTATAACGGAAAAATTGTCTAAGCGATGATTATAAAACATAATAGCTTTATACTCTCCATTTAGTAAAGTTCATCAAACAGAAAATAAAAATTGGGTATATAGAGCCATTTTTTACCTGCTGTTTCCCCAGTCTAAGCAGACTCAATAATCATGATTATAAAATCGGTGCAGTAGTTAAGACAAATGAAAGGTAGTAAGTTTTAAATCGACAACTAAGTGACGCCAAGAATCCTTTCTATTCCAAGCATCACTACGTGAAGGAACTTTTTTGGAAGCATACTTCTTGCACCTGAGTTTTCTTTCACTGAAGAAAAGGAACTGTCAGTGAGGACTACGTAACTTAACAACAGTGAGACAAGACCGAAAGGAGTTTCAGCTAATAACCTCTTGCAGCAATTCCATAAATCGGCACTGGGCCAAGTTCACTTCATTACATGATTTCTTATAATTTTAAAGATTGCAATGTTTTGTGTTACTGTAAGTATTATACTGTCAAGCAAACATCGATGAATATTGTTGTTATTCGTGCTCGAGTTCGTCATGAACCACAAAAACGAAACGGGAAACATTACAACTGAAAAAAGCTTTTCCACGGAAGTTGCAAAATTGGTCCGCGCATCATACGAAAACAACTGAAAAATAGATGTTGAACCCCTGTCCTTCGTTTATTGAGCCCACCCCCCCGCCCCCCTCCCCAGAGCGGTGACAAGCCAACAAGAGTCCTTGTTGATCGCTAATGATATTACATCTCTTATACTGCTACATGAGAAATTTCTGCAATTTGATAGGCTTAGAGGAGTGGTATTTCAACTTAATTTGAAATACGTACATGTGAAAATTACAAATCCTGTGCGGGTAGTAGTATAAACAAATAATAGCACGATTTGTACGTGATATTTGGCATAAATACCACTTGTGATATTTCAAAATTGTTTCAAATTTCACTTGCCTAAGGGCTCGTGAAATTACATATAACAATTTCGAAATATAACTCGTGGTATTTATGCCAAATATCACTACAAATCATGCTATTACCTATACTAAAAGCAGTAAATTACAGAAGCAATTAAGATTACGCTTATTACCTTCATTTCCCGTACAGATTATTAACTCAACAAGAGTAAGGGACTTAGGAAAGTGACAATGAAAGTTATTTGAAATATCATTAATTTCTTGAGGAAGTGACCCAGCAGCGTGGACGGAAATCACCTTTTTAGAAGATTTAATTGATTTACGATCCATCTCAAATAAGACCAAACTCACAGGAACTGAGCTTTATAAAGCCAATACAATTTAACCCAACCTTGACAGCTCACTAATTAATGAGAATATATAATACATAGATAATCACTTATTTTTTCAGATTAAACTGACTGCTGCTGAACACACAGTCTTAAACGAAGGAGGCTGACATCGACTGCAATGCATTCTATCGCTGTTGGATTGGCCATTTGTTTTCTGCTTGGATATGAACTGACTGCCGTCATAAGCAGTAAAAGTTACAGCAGCTTACATCAGTCCAGACTAATCAGACATGCACGTGACATTCGAAATCGAACAAAATCGAAAGAGGAGCCCGGTTCCAACGAGCAGAAATGTAATTACACCGTTGCCCTGCTGGACTTTCCACCATATGTGATGAACAAAACAAAAATCTCGGAGAGAGGATTTATGTACGACCGAATAGTTTGGTTTATAAGTACTGCATGCTTCGACACGGGACCTGAGGAACAATTACCGTGCAATTTGCAGGCCACGTTTGTTAAGAACACCGACGAGTTAGTTGATTTAGTTAAAAGCAACAAGGTGGATTTTGCTTTTCCCATTTTTTCTGAGGCTAAGGAAGCTCTTGATGGCATCGAAAACGTAACAATTATTCGGGCGTTTGCGTCACAGGGCTGCTCATTGATTGTGAACACAAAACAGTGCGAGGCGGAATCACGTACTCAGTTATTGACTTCTATTACCTCACAGTGGCCAATACTGGCTTGTATTATACTGCTTTCTGGCATTTCAGGAGTAGTTATTTGGTTGTTGGTAAGCTAATCATTACCTGTTTAATTTTATCCTCTACATCTCCAGGCCTTTGGGCGCAAACCATTTCTTCTTTCTTCTCATCCTCATCAAGGTCCTGGGAATGAAATACAGAGAAATACGCTGGTGAATTTTGCCCTAGCCATGATGTTGATGGGGATTGAAGTTCTTAGATAGTATTTTGTTGACTGGCCTCTTAATGCTAAATTTTCTTCAGAATGCCCACTACCCAGCAAAAACATTATTCCAAAAGAATTTCTAACCGAAAGAAAATAGTAAAAAAACAAATCGTTCCGCATCTTATGTCTCCAGAAGTAAACTCTATTTATTATTGACAGAGATGTCGCATATGCCTCGGGCTAATATTAAAATGCATTTCTTGGTTGGCAACAGGAACACAGAACAAACAAAACGTTTTCAACCGCATTTACAGAAGGCTCTCCTGAGGGATTCTGGTGGGCAGTGGTGTCACTCACAACAGTTGGGTAAGTTCTATCATTAAAACTGAGCAGGACCCCCCTAAGAAAGTAATATATAGACTTAGCCAAATGAGCCAGGGCTTGAAGCGAAGCGTCCATTTATATCCTTTAAAATAAAAAAGAGAAAATTATCAATCAAATTCGATCACAGTAATAGTCTTGGAAAGAATTCTTACCCCTGAATGGGTTCAATTGTCGGCAATTAGTCTCTCGGCAAACAATTTTCTAAATAATGCATACGTTTTCACGCATGAATTCAGCTGTCAAAGTTTTGACCAAGGTAGGGGGGGAGAAGAGGTTGTTCCTGGAGTGTGACCAAAAGCGTGACCAAGCAATAATTAAAGCCTTAAAAATTTATTTCCGATGGTAGCCCCTAAAATGGTTAATTTTGTTCCAAAATGAGACGCAACGTACACGTCTGGGACTTCCCTCCCTATCCGGGTCGACTGAGGTTTTTACCCCTACCCCCAGAGTTGTACGGACGGACGGACAACGGGAGTAAGCTGACGTCATAACCAAATTTTCTGGCGTCGATAGGTTTCCATTTTCTATAAGTATGGGGCTTCGCGCGCGCGGACGCTCCGCTATTATTATAAAAGTACGTAGAAAGTGTATCATAAACTCTTTTTATCAGTGTCATTATTTTTACTGTGACGGACGTAACAAACAGTTTTTTTAATTGTTGTATTAAATATAATTTCCACCACTTGGACTTAGCCAAAACCTCTGTCAATTGTAGTGCTAATGCTCTTTTTTTTAAAAGAAATCATTTTATTTTCCCACGTCAAGGAAAACGCTATTTGAGGGTTAGAGAATTTGTTACACTAATTTTTAAAATTTATTACTCACATTGCAGCAACGATTATCATATTAAATAACAATATAGTTGTAAAGTTTTTTTACGTGACAGATGTATATGAAATAAATCATATAAGATTTTTCAATCACATTCATCTTTTTCACGGGAACATATGAACACATAATTGACCAGCTCCCAACATCAGTGGCTTCATAGCTCAGTTGGTTAGAGCACCAGTACCGTGAGGTCACGGGTCCAAATCTCGTTGAAGTCCCGCATTTTTTTCAGGCTTCTTACGCAATTGCATAAATTGCGTGCACAACTACGAGGACCATTCTTCATTTGATTTCTTCATTTGAAAGCTTTTTTAGTTGTAAAGTTGCCTCTCTTCACAACTTTGAGAATTTATGAAGCCAAGTGAAAACAATATCACATTATATTAAGGCAGGCCTGAAAGCGGAGCTCCAATTGCAAACTAGAGCACTTTAAAAAACCAACAATACGTTGATAAAAAGCTAAAAGATTAGAGGTTTAGGTTTTTTCCAAATTTTCTTACTCGTGGTGCTTAAAAAGCCTCTTATAAAGGCTTAAGATAGACCGACCGCTATATCAAACTAACGGTATGAGGATGTTGGAAAGTGTTGTTGTGTTGTTGTTGTTGTTGGAAACTAGTCAAGTCAAGTCAATTTTTATTTAAACTCACACAAGAATAGTAATTAATACAAATTAGTGCTGTAAAATCTTAAAAACTGTTACGCTTTAAATGAAACGAGGAGGGCTGTTAAGATTACTTCTATAAGAGAGGATTCATTTTTTGCCTTACTTTCTATTGCAAGGTATTTTATAACAGGGCGAATTATAACTCTTCAAATTTTCAATTTTTTTCCTGCAGCTACGGTGACAAAACGCCAAAGACCTTTCCCGGCCGTTTGTTTGGAGTTGTGTGGATTCTTGTAGGAGCAATTATGCTGTCTCTCTTCACTGCTTTATTTACAAACGCCATGCAGGCTGCCCTAGATGGAACAAAATGCCAAGATATTGCCTCCAATGAGGTGGGGGTCTAAAGCCAAAATAGATTCCTGACTTAAACGGTTTTCGCACTAATCTTGTCAGAAAATTTACAGGGTTGGTACAGATTTCTGGATCCAAAATTCAACGCTTTTTCTAGACTTTTTTTCCAAAACAATAATTACTTTTTCCAGACTTACGGTTGTCAAATAGAGACCTTCAAAACGCAGAAACAAAGCTTTTTTCATGATGCTCTGTAAACGAGCCGGCGAAACGAAAACATTTCACTTATAAGGCACTTATTGTAGCTTGGTTAAAAAAAAAAACTCAAGACTTTCTACCATTTTTCCAGACTTTTTCCAGGTCTGGAAAATTGCTGGGCAAATTTCAAGAACTTTTTCCAGAATTCAAGACTCAGTACGAACCCTGATTTACCATAAGGTATAAGTGCAGCAGCGTAGCCGAGCGGTTGGGCGCTAGACTTGGAATTCGCGAGGAGGCCTCGAGTTCAAGACCCGCCCTGACCGCTAGCTAGATTTGTTTCTCGTTAGTCCCCTGTTCCAATCCCCTGTTCCAATCCACGACCACGCTTCTTGAAACAGCCAATTCGCCTGTCGCTTCCCTTGTTTTTTTTTTTATTTGATTTTTTGCTCGGCCACTCTAACCTTTCCACTAATAATTGAAATCTGGCACCTGAGTGAATTTTTAGCTCCAATTTATTTGGCTGAACTACCCCTAAGATTGTTAGAGGCCAACGACTGTAGGAGCTAGAATGAATAAACTTACCAGCATTTTTTTAAATACGTTTTAATAACATGGAGCTAGTATGGTACGTACCACTCTAATCTTTCGCTATCGGTTCAAAACTATTAAAGTCGATGCAACACTTACGCCAATCGCTTGTCAATGGATGATGCTCATATCAATGAATTGATTAGTTTTAATCAGAGAATATGTATGTTATTGTAGGTGGGAGTTTCCATCAAGGAAACCGAAACACAAGTGGTAGCAAAGGAATTTGAGGCAAATATTGTCAGTGAGTACCGAGTGTAATCTAATCGTTGCCTGAGTAATTGCCTAATAATTGCAAATGCTGGGCTAGACTTTTCAAGCACGTCCTAACCGTTTCCTTTTGTAAAAGAAACAGAAAAAATGCATGAAAGGCATAGGCGTTTTGGTCAACTAACAATAAACTAGACAGTACTGCCATTCTGAAAACGCTTAAGTTCCCTCTCTTTACAACTTCGAGAATTTATGGGGCCAAGTGAAAACAACATCACATTATATTAAGGCAAACCCAAAAGGGAAGCTCCCATTGAAAACTAGACAATGAAAATAGGAAATTTCATATATTAACCTATATTTACTACACAAACTCTATTTTCTTTTAAATTTTACTCAGGTTAAAGGGGTCCTTACCCATCGCCTGTTATTCTAGGAGACGCGGTTGAAGACGACGAGTTAGAAAACTTAATACAATAAATTTTACTTACGCATGTAGGATAAATTGCAATGCTTTCTTCTATTTTCCCGTAAATAGTATGAAAAAACATGCTTTGGATAGCATGCAAAATTACGTAAAAACATGAACCATACAAGAAAACCTAGTGTAAATAGAGTTCAAAGTTCAAAGACAGTGATATAACTACAATATATTAACTTACAGCAAACTATTCAATTTATAGAGTTTGACAACCTGGAACAAATGCAAAGGAATTTGAGTAGTGGAGATATTGGCAGAGTACTTGTGGATCGAAACACGGCGTTTCACTTCTTGGATAAATCAGGGTTGAAAAGGAACAGGCAAATACGCCTAATTCGAAACATTGATTATCCCATGGATTACTTCCTAGCTTTTACAAAAAGAGACAGCTCACCCCTTGAAATTGCAGGATGTGGGCCTACTTTGAAAGAGTTAACGGGAGATTTAGTGTCGGTTGCCAAATCAACAGCTCAAGAACGACTCATACCCGCCCAGCTACAGGTGATTTACTTTTTGTCATTATTATTACTATTATTCGCCTTTTTTTCAGTTGAAACTAATCAGGTCGATATTGACTAGGCCTTTGTACATTATTGTTTCTCCACTAAAATGCTCGGTCGCTCCCACAAAAGTTACTAACATGCTCGATAACGCTCATCATACAGAGTCTTTCTTTACAGTTTTAAAGCAGCACAGAATGATCATCTACACGGCTATGTTAAGGCGAAATTTGAATATGTTCAAAAAGTGCTAGCATAATGTGTGTGCAGTTGAACCTCTCTACAACGGCCACCTTGGGGACAGAAGAAAGTGGCCTTTGTAGAGAGGTTGAAACAAGAGTGAATATATGGACTGTCGGCCAAAAAATGTGGCCGTTGTAGAGATGTGGCCGTTAAAGGCGGTTCGAATGTATTTGCTTAGTGTCTGGAGCTCTTTGTCCTACAAACAGACACTTTATTTGTCTGTTTTTCTCTTTCTTTGTCTACATTATACGCGAAAAGTAAGTATTTTTTTTCTTGATTTTCTTCAGACTGCAAGTTTGTCAAACGAAATGGAGGGCTTGTTCTCTACTGGCTCACAAATGACCACATTTATGTTGTTTTGTCTTTTGGGAATATTCGGAGCCCTGGTATGTTTGGGTATCCTGTGGGAAGTCTACACTAGGTGCAACGTTATGGTGACGAAACGAAAAGGTAAACATTACTTTTTGTTATACGGTAGTAATTCTTTCCACTACGGCGCCCGCTTTCCATGGCTACTTCCAGGTCATATGACATCTAACAATAAAAGATGTTTCCCGCCACGTTTCTGAGCGGGGAGCATTGCAAAACCTAGTAAGAGGTAACTGTGCACTGTTACCTTGTTGTTCGATACAGCTTGGAGTATATCATAGTTTCCCACTGTCTTCGGCTTTCTATAGATTTAAATGTCAGAGCTTCGTTTGCCATGCCCTGTCACGTGTTTTTCTTGTCTTAGATTCAGTTCATGCAACTTTTGATGTCGATGCCATAGGTAGTGCAACGCTACGAGTACCTCGATCACAAGCACTAGCGCGATTCAAATTTCCGGCAACATGACAAAAGACGAACGGTGCTGATAAATCGCGACACTGCAGCCTGAATAACATTTAACAGCAGAAAATCCAACTTATACAAAGGGATAGATAAATTCAAAGATGGTATGGTAATTTCTCGACCGACAACTCAAAGGTGCAATTCTGTACGAATCAAGTATCTTATCAGTTGTTTTTTACCGCGGAGCATGCGTTGTCTCAAATTTAAATATTGTTGTTTTCCTCAGTAATATATTATGTTGTTTCGAATAATCGTTGTGTCGAATAATTTCCGTAGAACGGCTGTTCTGAAAAACACACCAATTGTAAACTAAAGCTACAAAGCAAAGAATTGCACTAAAAAAAATTTGAGGGCGTACCTGTGCTTAAATTTCTCCAGAGGCTTGCTTTAGATTTTCCGTAAAAGTCGTTCGTGGTCTTCTAGCGCATGTAACGCCCTCAATTTTTTTCAGTAGAATCCTTAGGAGTGAAGCTTTAGTTTACAATTGATATTTTTTTCAAAACAGCCGTTCTACGGAAATTATTCGACATTAGATTTTCATACAAACATTGTAATTTTTCACGCGTTTGCCTACTCGTCAAGATGGCGTCGAAAACCGAGAGAAAAAATCATTTTTCTCTCTCCCCGCCGCGTGTCGCCTTTTCTCGCGTGGGTTGATTTTCACGCGCGCTCGCGTTTCGCTCGCTCTACTATCCCTGAGGAAAAATGGGGGACTACTCGTAGTCTACGAAAACCGTGACAAGGTCTATTAGAGATTTTTTTTTCCCTTTGCAGGAAATTCACCCGACAAAGGAAATCTCATTAACCTTCACAACAAAACAATGTCCATGATGCAGAATTTTATAGAAATGGAGGAAAGACTACAAAACTTGACAACAGAATTGCGAAAGATAAAGGAGGAATACGCGAGCACCATAACAAATCAGCGACACAAGCGGAGTGATGATCATGATAATGAGGACGATAACCGACCGCTCTTTAACTTTTTTAAAAATGGGAAGAGTAAAAATACAGAAACGATACTTTAGGATTTAATTTTGCAGAAAACGTATTCTTTTAACAGGGGCACCCAACGTCAATTTTCGGAAAATATCTGTTCGGAAGACGATTTGAGATCTAGAATTTTCGGAACATTTATTGTAATATGTCTTGCTTGCCTGCCTCTCCTAGGATTTTCGAACGTCTAAAAAATGCTATAATTGCCCATTTTAACGGATTTTTACCCTAAAAAGGTCACCTAGAATTTTCGGGAGCCTTTTTTCTTGCTGAAATTTTCGAAAAGGTAAGTTTTAATCCCTATAATTTTCGGATCACTAGGCTTTCAGCTAGGAAATCCGAACAGATGAAAAATGTTTGGGGATAAAAATATGCCTATATCTACCGTTTAAATACTAAAATACGTTGAACAATGCTATGTTTAAGTGGTTTTGAACTATATTCTCGTTGGGTGCCCCCGAAAAATGCAGGCAAAAAGCGAGTATTATCCTCCTCATCTGGGATTGTCAGTCACTATCTGTCTTTTCCAGCCGTTTAGCTGTATCCTGA